AATGGTGCCCTGGAATATCCACTTCGATGTGCATAGTGCGATCCTGCTTCTCTATCAGCAGTGTGGAGGTGCCGTGAAAACCAACTGAGTTATAACTTGCACAGAGCAGAGCTGTGGGTGAATTATGAAAGTAATTCCCTGGCAAGTGTAATTATTTCTCTTCTCATACACTGCACTCATCATGGGGTCTGGGGAAATTTCAGTGGAATGTAACAGACACACTCTTGGCCTCAGCCACCAGAATGGTAGAACACTTCCGCTAAAAACCGGAGATTCTTGTTTACACCCATTAATAACATCTTCTACATTAATGAATTGCATTCATGCTGTCATCCATTAAGAAGATACTTTGAGGTCTCTCTCTGCACAGAACACTAGCTTCTCCTGATGACTCTATTGTTATACAGCCCATAAATAAAACAAGTATTTTCCCTTCATATTTGAGGTCTGCAATTAAATCTACTAAATGGACTGCAGATGCATGGTTTACAGTAAGTGATTCATCTTGGAAGATCATGGAAATGTCGAAGTCACCACAATGAAGTAGCATAGTTGTCAAATTAGGGCAATTTCAGAGAGTAACAAACACCAGAAATTTCATCTATGCGAGCCAACCTTCTTCCTGACTATGGCCAGTGGTGAAGAACTCAAAACCCTTAAGTAGGAAGCCCTGTATACCACAGAAATTATGATCTTATGCTAATTTTTCAAATGAGAAATTGCATTTCCTGAAAGAATAGTACGTAGTGAGGTAATATGGTAGTTAACAGATGCTTGCTACTAAGTACAGCCTCCAATGTGCTAAACTTCAGAAAGGAAGGGGACTCACCTAAGAGAAGGAAAAGCTCTGTTGTATTACTGAATAGAGAATATTGGATAGAAACAGAGAAAAACTGTCCAGTGGTAATATACTCTTCTCTGGAACAGTCTGTGCTCTGAATTACAGTTCTGACGCTATTGTATAGCTGGCCTGCTTGCCTCACAGCACATCCTGCGGTGGCCATACCATCCCTTTGAGGAAAAAATCTCTGTGTCAGAGACACCAGGGTTCATGGCGCATGTTGGTTAGGGAGAATAGCTTTCTTCTCATTCATCAGAGCAGGCCTAGTCTCGTGCTCCAGCAATATCCCCCGTTTACCTAGAAGTGGCACGTGTGGGGTTCAGATGAGTGCTGCCTGTTAAAGAGTTGCAGAGCCACACAAAGCATAAGGCAAGCCTGCAGTGCACTGCACAGTCTTTCCAAAAGCAAAATTGCAGGCTCAGTCCCTGCCCCATGCCAGGCTGTCCTGAGATTTCTTGCCTCTACTAGACCAACTTCATCATCAACTATTATATCCTTATGCTACAAATAAGAACCAGGAACTATGTGCCCTAGACACTTTATGCAGCCTTGGAAATCTGGGTCTGGAGCCAAGCAATCAAAGTCAGAGAAGGAGAAAGAGAGGTATTAGTTTCTTTACAGAAGACAGAGAACTCTCAGGTGGCAGAATGAAAATGGTCCCTGAGAGCATAAAATAATTGTTAATTAGTTACATCACCATCATCACTTGTTATTCACTGTATTGATTTTAATTGTCTCCTTCTAAAGCATCAGTCGAATATTACTCACTGACACCAACGAAGTGTTGGCTCATAAGCCCAACAAAGCATGTCTTGTCTCCTCAAAAGAATAAGAAAACAACCTAGACTTCCCAGTAGTATCTGATGCGCTGAGAGTGCCCGTTTGTCTGCAGGCAGCTTTTACGGCCTTACTGAAGAATATGATTCCCTTTACTGGCCAGGATTATTCTCCCAGTGGTCAGAATACATATCTATTTACGGGATCTACGTAGAGGAGCTGCATTTAATTTGACATTCGCATAGAAGAAAGCGGGGTCATGCATCCATTGGTAGTGAAATGGTGCTTTGATTCTGGAGCAACTATTTTGCTTTCAAAAGCACAAAGAATTCCTGGTAGTTTCAAAGCATGGTTGGCACAAGAGAGATACCAGGAAGAGCTCTTCATAATTTCACTCTTCAGTAAAACTTGCAAAATCTTGGAAAACCTTACTGCTTGCTGAATTTCTCCTTATCCAAGCAATCCAAAACCCAAACAGCTCAGAATTTTATGCCCTGTGCTGAGTTTGATGGGATTTCGTGTGGCATAAAGTCCTATGCCCTCAGAATCACTGTGGCAGAGTCCTGTCAGCATTTCTGCTGCAAAATGCGACTAGATTCTTAAGGGAGAGGCTTAGGTCACTTCATTAGGACACATAATGACACTGACTAAGGCCCACCTAAATGTAGGGTCAGTTCTCCTTTGACAGGCCTGAAGTGTACAAATCAGCTCCTAGCTCAAAAGGGGAAATGAGAGGGGAGAGTCAAACAAACGGAATTGAGCAAGACAAAGAAGGTCATATAAAGGTTTTGTGAACGCTGTGTCTCTCCCTGTCCTTTCCTTCCTTCCCATAACCATTATCTCATCCTCCAGACTGGCACATAAGCTTGGTTGTGCTCTCAAATACATTGGTTTAGACGAATCATCATTCACCTGGTGTTTCCATACCAAAGAAAAACAACATGCAAATCAGGCCTGTGATACTTTTGGTCCACTCAGAACCTCTAGAGATCGTCCTGTTCATCATTGCCAATTAACAAGACTGAAGCTCGAGGTCTGCTGTGCACAGCCCCTACCCCAGCCCAAGTGAATTGCTCTTGGAGAAACAGGGAAAGAGGAACTTGTGGAGATGAGCCAAGGAAAGAGGAGATAATACTCCACATATAAATACCACAAGAAAGATGCTACAATTATTCTCTGCTTGTATAAATCAAATTTGCCGCCTTATAGAACAACAAATTCTTCCCCCTTAACCTCAAAGCCAAAATTTGACATTACCGAGACCTAGCTGCAGAAGAAGATCTCCCCTCAAAGCAGCAGCTCAGTCTACCTGTTCCTCGTAAGTGTAACAATATGCTGACAGGCATAGGCAGCTCCACAAAGCCTCTGGTAGGTGGATATGCAGATATGCAAATCTGTAACTGGATTTCTTAAAACCAAAATATACTACATTGTCCCAGTCCCCTTACACGTATCTGGAGATTTCTAGTGCCAGGCAGGAAATATAAACCGGGCATCTCAGCAATGAACTGCACGTGTAGCTGACAACATTCATCAAGAGAATATGCACGCATCTGATAACTGACCACCCCTATATAAATTATTAAAAACCTATATTTATATTTGGGACAAATTTTTCAGGGACACTGCCTCTTAGCCTGAGTAACTGACTATCTAATAAGTATCTCTACAAGAGATTCAGGAATAGGATCTTTCCTGCCCCTAGGTTGTAAAACTGCTATCAAGCAAAAAGGAGCAAATTATTAATTTCTCAATTTAGTGGCTGAGCTGTAAAATCACAGAAAAGGATATCTGGAAGTCTTCCAAATAAATAAAACTAAAAAAAAAACTTCATGACAATTATTTTTTCATTCATTTTTATTTCCTTTTGCTTGGCTTTTGTTTATTGGGGGCATTTTTCTTAAAATTTATCTACATTTAAATATGAAAAAAGTGAGAACAATATATTGATGCAGTTAATTTTGAAAATGCTTAAATGTAATTTTTAAGAAAAAAAAATCCCTTACTTCCATCCAAAATTATTCACTGAACACAACCACATTTCCACACCTTTCAACCTGCCCAGGACTACATTTATCAATGAACAATCTTTTTGCCTGAAGAATTTCACTTGTGTCTACTCCAGAGAGGCTGGTCCTGCCCAATGGAAGACAACGAAAGTCTCTGCCCAAGACCTCGAAGTCACAGGGCAGACATCAAGAGGACTCATGCAGTCCAACAGCCGCTGCCCACTTACAGGGTTTAGGTTGACAGTCATCCTTTAAGCCTTAGGGCTCAGGTCACACCTCTATGGCTTTTCTTGATTCAAAATCACAGGTCCCACACCCATCAAAATAGCAGTAGTGGTATGGTGTGTCTGGCTTCAGCTTTTTTGGAAAGACAGGAGGGAAGGGGGAACAGGGGGCGGGACACTGGACCTAATGCAAAACTCAGCAGTTCCAAGCATTTGCTTCAGGAATATACTTTGGCAATGCTGATTTAACTGGAAATACTCACAAAGAGCATGAGGTGTGTCAGAGAACATAGTGAGAGGTATTAGAGGACATTTGTGTTCGTAGTGGAGGGTCGTAAACTGGGAAACTTTCCTCACAAATTATTGCATCACATTGGGACATAGAGTAAATGTATGTGCCACTTTGTGCTTGGCAGTGCTATGAGGCTTTACATCCTATAAATCTATAAATTGAATTCATCCTGCTTACACCCTTAGTCTTATAAATTGTTAGACTAGGAACAGCTAATGGATCAGCTGGTGATTTATTTTTAAAAGATGCATACTGCTGCTTTTTGGGAACTGAAAAGGATAAAGATGCTGGATGTACCCTTCCTGAAGCCTGGGTCCCAGGTAATGAGGAATGACTTTGTATCCTCCCCTGTCCCTATGCACACACTTTATTCAAGTTCTCAGAGGGGATCTACTGTTCAAGAAAAGAAAGGGCTGGCGTTGTGCAGAGATGTACTGCAAAGGAAACTGCATGCAAAGAGCGGATGAGGCATCAGTAACGGTGCCAGGTAATGTATAATGCAAAAGGATGTGTATAACTAATTTATTAGTATAAATTTGACTCTTAAAAAAAAGCATATGCAAAGAAAACTCTAAAGGAGCAAACCCTACCTGCCTTGCTCCTTGAGACAAACCCTGACCTCACTAAAACTGTCTGAGTAAAATGAAGGAGCTTCGCCACAAATGATGCTACAATTTACAACAGGAGACTCACTCCTGTACCTGCAGCATCGGTCAGTGCAAGTGCTGCCAATCATAACAGTAAGAAGGATCCATCATTTCCCAAAAGCTTCTCCACTGGCTCAAGTGGGAGCACGCTGCTTAGCTCGAAAGAGCTGCTCTTTGAGCTCATCCCTGAAGTTAAACAAAGTCACTTACCTTTTAGAGAGGCGACATGGGATAAAGCTTGTGCGTAGGTGGCTGTGTTGAGAAGAGTCCCCGGCAGGCAGGAAGGGAAGAAAGGTCCTGTAGGACCCACTGCTCGACTCAGGCTGATGGAGAATAGAAAACAACTTACAAAACCAGAACTAGCTGATTCCAAAGACAGAGTATGTGCATGTACACAAACACGTTGTTGGTGTCTCAGTGTCCAACCAGATGGGACCAAGCCTGGATAGCATTAGCCTCCCACAGCCAACAGCTTCTCAGCGTCTCCATGGGAAGCAGTGAGTTGCAAGAGGGACAGCTCATCTTCTAACGATTTGGGCTGTACCTGAAGATGGTACTGTGTAGGTCAAGGCTTAGCAGCAGGCGAGTCTGTCTGTATGTACATACGTGTGATGCGTGCCTGCCCCAAAGAGAGGCAGCTGATAACATGCATTGCTCTTACCTCTGCTGGATCTCCAGACTCTCTTTTTTATTCCTGGTTTGATCTGCTGGAGAAGGGGAATTCAAATTCCTCGCAGGAGGTGCCACCTCAGCCATTGTTTCCTTAGAGCCCTCTTGGTCGGAAGCACCCCTCTCTGTTTTCCTCCATTTAGCTCTTCGGTTTTGGAACCACACCTGCAGCGGGAGAGCAATCCAGGCTGAATACCGTGTTTAGCCAAATGCGAAGCAAGGAAATTGTAAATTGTTGCTCTAGTGAAATCAGTCATTTAGAAGCTTGGCTAAAACTTCTTCTTATTTTTTGTTCCCATCGTTATTCTAGTTGAGCCTTAGGATTACATTTGCATCCGGAATATTTCTGTGTCTGGAAGACAAGCCAGGAATGTCTAAAGACATTCAAAAGGCATGTTAAAAATAAAAAAAACTAAAAAAGAGTTTTGATGTTACTGTGCCAGTTGTTAGCAAAACATTTAAATGTGTGCTTGCCTTTAGGCACACGTTTCTCACTGATTTCTGTGTTTTAACACGTCTAAAAGCTTTTTGTATAGGGATGGACTTAAATACGTGTCTAAGCGCTCTGACGAAACCGTGTATGCCCTTAAATGGGCTGCTGCTAGAATCAGAGAGGTCAGAACTGAGAAGGTATGTATTAGGCCATCTTATCCAGCCCATTTCCCGGAGAGGACTGACACTTTCTGTTATTCCTCTGATGTATTTGTCCAGTCTGCATTTAGAGGACTCAAAAGGTGGTAGATACTGATTTTGGAAGATCATTCTGCACTTCAATACACACCAGTTTCCAAAAGCTATTTTTTCCCTCTAATGCAATACAAATATTCATGTTCTTGATTTTATCCCCCGACTTTTAGTCCAAACACTTTTTTCTTCCATTTACCTTGGAGCTGATGCTCCGAAAGGGCCTTGTTTGAGGTGGAAAATGCCAAGCCTCTCTTGAGGTCAGGAAATCCACATTTTAATACATGACTTCAAGTATAGGCGAGATTGTTATTATTATTATTCTCCTCCTACAACTCCATTTTAGTTAGCTGCCTTTTAATTGCATGTATCAGCAAACGTTGAATAATGATTTTATCTGTATTCTAAATTTAGAGCAGTTAAATGCAAAGCAAAATGCAGACACTTTCTTGCGTCTTAATTGAATGAAGGTCACAGCTATAACAACATTTAATTGAGCTATTTTTCATTATCATATTTTAATGACTTTGCACTGACAGTTCGCCTGCTTCTGAGGAAAGAGCATGATGAAGTCGTTTATTTCCCTATTTAGTTATTGTTTGACAACATCATCTTCGATTAAGACTCTGCTTTATAGCACATTAATCATATTTGAATGAGCAAGGGGTATAAATGTAAACATATCTCCCATCCTCTGTGTTTCCCCATGTCCCTGCATGAAAGCAGGCTAAACAAATGCTTGCATCTATTGTCTGTTTGCATAATAGCCAACAACAAGGCTAAACACCAGTCCTCAGCAATCTAATTGTCACCACCCCTATCTCACCCTTGCACCTTTCAGGAAGAAGTTATGATCTTCCACTTCTGAATGCTCAATAATTGTGCCATTTATCTCAATTTGCAGTTCAGTCTTTAGGCACCAATAGCCAAAATGGCATTTTTTATTATTTTTTTTTAAGCCAGTACCTACAATGCAGTGGCAAAAGGAGATTTTCATTTCCAAATAATAATCAGTTTAATTTGCCCGCATATGACCAATGATTCATGTTCAGATTTAATAATCAGGATCGCATAATCTGATTATAGGAGAAATAATTTGTTTACAATCCCCAATTTACTGCGGTGAATTCCATTATCTCTCTTCAGCCATTGGGTTTTAAGAGATACTAACATGACCCTAGGGAACAAAAGGCTAGCTATTATATTTCCTACAATTAGATCTTTGCATAGTCTTAACCCCAAGCACCTAGATAAAAAAAAATACAAAAACAGCGTGCAGAAAAGCCCCATAAATAAAAATGAATACACAATCCTGTTCAAAAAATGGCTTGCAACTCTGTGGTGGATGCCTGCAGAG